CGGTGATCTTGCTCATGGCGTCCACTGCAAGGATAAATACCAAAGTTAAATAAAAAGTTATAACAAGTAATGCATGGCAAAAGAGAGTATTCGACAGGCCGGCTACCTCTTGGACACCGACTGCCGAGGCCACAGGCGGCCAAAAAGTACTCGTCATAGAGCCATTTAAAGCTCGGGACGCAGTGCAGGGGTACTTGCTCTCGCACCCCTGTAGTAGAGTCGACCCTCGACTCTACTTTGAAGAGTCCTTTGTCCAGGATCTCTTTCTTAGCCTTTGGAGGAACAGGCGGCATGCTACGGCCGCCTGCAAGAAGAGGCGGATCCCTGTTCCACCTGTTGAAGCGCTTGTTCAGCTCTGTGTCTGAACTTTCAATGATAAGGAAGGTGCTTCGCCAATCCTTCCATTTATTTTCTTTACCTCTTGTCATGAGGTAGCCTCTGTGGCTCGTCAATTTATACTAGCCGGTACCGCCTGCCTTAGGGGTTCGGCTGAGGTAATTCATGTGGGCGAAAGCCTCGAAGTTTGGCTCCACCCCGTGCAGTTCGCACCCGGCCACATAGCCGAGAACGTTGAACCAGGAGTTTGGGGCTAACTGCCATAACCCCAACTCATACCCATCCAAGATCCGCTGAACAACCGGATGTAGTGGGAAGCGCAGCCCAGCTCTGATGGCCGCCTCGTAGCAGCCGAAGCAGGCGCTATCGTAGCTGGTACCAGCCGGCCAGACGATTGTGTCCTCTGGATCCGGCACAAAAACTAAAAAGTCGGGGCCCATTGTGTGGTTCGCAATAAAGCTCCCCACTTTCTCTTGCATGGCCTTGATTCGGCCTTTTGGGACAGTGCAGTAGTAAGGGGTATTTTGCTCTCTGTAAGAGGCGGATGGCTCCGCCCAATTGTCCCCCTTCTCAACTGCGTGAGAAAGCCTCGCCTCTTGTAGGCGGTTGTTTTTCTCTTCTGTGTCTAGAGAAGTATGACCAGAAGAACTAGACTCGGACTCGTCCTCTGACGAATCCGAAGAGGACGACTCCTCTCCTCTCCCAGAGGGGCCCGCCTCCTCTCCTTCGATAGGAGCAGGAGAAAAGTTAGACATGTCAACTGTAAAATGGGAAGGGACCACCTTGACCCCTCCCTCAGAGCTGTCGGCGATCAAGCCGCCTTGGTTTACTTCAGCATCTGGCGCCTGGTCAAATGTCTCACTAATCGGCACCTGGTAGGAGGAGCCGTCTGAGTTTGTGATCCTAGCAGTTCTTTTTATTCTGGCCATTATGTTCTGCATAGACACAGAGACAGTCGGACTTTGTATAAAGGGCAAAGATTGGTTCGGAAAAGGGCAGGCGGCACTCCTAGTCCTAGATTCAGCCGTCCCCGGTGACCGGCTGATCACTAACCTAGGTCGTGTCGTGTGCTTCCGTGGTGCCATTTCAAAAAGGAAAAAATAAAGAAAAATTAAAAGAGTGAGAGAACCGACGGTTACCTGAACGAGTGAGAAGTTGACGAAGTTCTGAAAATTCTGAGAAAACGGCCGACTTGTCAGAGCAGGCGGTAGGTAGAAAGTATCCGGAATGTCAGAGCAGGTTCAGGGGTCCGAATGTTCTCTTAAAAAGTTCTCAAGTGTGAAAATGACTGAAGTCAACACACTCTTATATAGGAAAAATGAGAAGGCGAAGGGTCACTCCCAAATTCGAAATTTGAGCGGGAAACCTCTCGGCCTTTCATCAAGTGACACCAGTAGCAGGCCGTCGCCTGTTACGGTGCGACACCTGTCACAGGTAACACGTGACCAGTCACGTGCCACCTGTGAGGGGCAAATGATTAGGGGATTTTTATCCACCAATCACCATCTGATACGTGGACCAACCAGGTTTCGCCACATGTCCTTCATGTAGGCCAATCGGAGCCTGCCACGTGTCAATCAAAGATACGTCCTCCATGGACCAATTGCGACGCGACACGTGTCCACCCATGCCAAATGGGAAAATCAGCCAACAAGGCCCAATTTTTGGGAAGCCCAGTCAGCCTTAGGTTTAACCTGAACCTAGTATTGGCACGCATCCCAAGGCATATAAATATGCTCATTAATCCTCATTAAGGGGGGATTACGCACATTTAACACTCTCACCTAGAGAGACTAAATTACATTTCCGCATTAATTACTCCTTAATCAAGTACTAACTTGACCGTTGGAGGCGGATCTCCAATCATCCGGAGCATCCGTTTGTTTTGCAGGTACAGGCGTCCGGTTCCAGTCTCGAAATTGTAACTCTCCCGCAGGACATCAGAAAACCCCGAAACACTAGGTGTTTTTAGTTTTCACATACAAAATTTTAGAATTTTTCGAAAACGTTTGCTATTAAACTGAATTAGTTTGTCTATTATGTGATTCTTGCTATTGGACGTGTTCTTTGTAAGTTGTAACTGCAATTTGTTGTTCAATATGGACGACAAAATTGAGCTTATAACACATATGGAAAGTATGTTGGAAATGAATCAAAAATTGCAACAAGTAACACAAAAATGACTAGAAATTTTGGTTGATATGGGTTAGGAAATAAACTAAACTTACCAAATACCGACGAGATTTATTTTGGGAAAAGATATAGAGTATCTTTTATTTCTTTCTTTCTTGTGTGCTTTTCTAGTTAGATGAAGTATGTAATTAGGAAACTAGATAGATTTTAGGAATGTTATCAATCTAATTGATTATTAATTGATTATTTAGGCTTGGGGAGCAAGTAAAATATCCTAATTGATGTGGATTTCTAGCTTAGCCTATATAAGAGGGTTTAGGCTTATTAGAAACCATGATGGTTAATTAATTGATGATTTATTGAGGAGGAAAATCATCAAGAGGGTGAAAATAATGGTGATTTATTGAGGAGGAAAATCATCAAAAGGGTTATTGTCTTATTTTGTAGGAATTTAATAGAACAATATTTTTGTTTGAGAGGAAGAATCTAAAGTTCCTCATAAACATTGTCTCTTTTATTATCGTGTTTTGCTATATATTTTATTTTGTATTTTGAGGGTGAGTTCCTAAATCATTCCATTGTAAACATCCGTTATAACAAGATGCAAAGGGACAAAAGAACAAAAATACATAAGATAGAGTTAGTTGACTCTAATTCTATGAATAGGGTTGATAATATTTCAAATTTGGTTATGCAAGATGAAGAAGAAACCGAGGTGCTAGATGATGAATTAGATTTAATTTAGCTTTGTCATATCCATTAATTGATGCAACTCAAGCAACTTATCAAGATGAACAGAAGATCCGAGCTATACAACATATTTATGTGAGAAAGTTATACTTGGTTGGTCATGATATATCTTTTCCTAATTATTTTAATTGTTTGCATATGGAAGCAACTACACTAAAAAGTGGAATTGGTGGTAAAATTAGGAGAGGTAGAAACAATGACCTTCAAAGAGAATATATTTTCATGTTATGTTTGTTTGACTTGGATGATTTCATGGTCATTTGCACGAAAATTTGAGGCTAAGTTTTTCTTTCTTTTTTTCTTTTTTTTTGTAAGAGGGGGAGAAATGATGCAGATCAAGAATTAAGAGCTTAAGTGTTTAGATTTATTTTCTTTTGGATTTTTTTTTTATTTGTATGATTTACTTAGAATAATATTTATCTTTTTTAGAGATATTAGAGTTTATCTTTTGGATTTAATGAATGTTGGTCTTGAAGCCCCAAGAATAGCGAAGGTTGATTAATTCAAATAACGTTGAACTTTCAATGGACAGTTCAATGGTGCTTCAAAGTTCGAAATCAGAAATCCAGCGTCTCAACTCTATAAATAGCGTGCAGCTTTTCAAGAAAAATACTAAGAAGAAAAGTGCTATACAAGAGTTGTTAAAAATACTTTCTCTCTAGAATTGTATTACTCCGTATTTAATATTTGGAGATAATTTTCATGTAATGTACACATGCTCACATATTATTAGGATAATTTTAGAAGGCGATTTTTAGTTCCTAAAGTGGCCAACCAACTCGTTAACTCAGGGTACGTACAAGGATACGAAAACCTTGACTTTAGGTGCATGTTTAAGGACTTGGAAGACTTAGAATCATGTTTGGAAACTTGTGGATTGGTTGAAATTGTTTGGTAGTGAGTTTGATTGATTGTGATGTTTGGTTTGATTCATGTATGAGAAATACGTATTGGTTTTTCTTGTAAGTATTATATATGCCATAACTTGCAAGATGAGCTTAGAGGAAAAGGTACATGAATATGTGGAATGAATTATTTTATTATTCATTCATTATTATTGGAATGGATGAGTAAAGGGATAATTAAAGTCTTATAAGACGAGGGTTGAGGATTTGAGGTGCCTTATGCACTTAAAGTATTTATACACCGAGGTAGTTAAATTACATAAAAAAGCCTAGTAAAAAAAACATCAAAATACATGAACTTAAATTAATTTTTCTGAAATTATTATTGCTGAGCTTAAATTATTTTTACTGAATTGAAATTATTTTTGCTGAAGTGTAATTATTTTTAATGAACTGAAATTATTTTTATTGAACTTATTTTTACTGATTAAAACTGATTTTTACTGAACTGAAATTATTTTTACTTAATATTATTTTTTTAAGGTGAAGTGAACAAGGCCTAAATTGTTTAAAATACGACTATATTATTCAGAATATGGCTCACAACAAGATAATTATGTCATCTAAAAAAGTGATTATATTATCTAAAATGTGACTATATTATTTTAGAGTGTCAAATATTTTATGTAGACCGAGTCCATACAAGACCTGCGGCCTATTTTTTTTTTGCTGCCATTTGGTTTTTTAGTTTGCTATTCAAGTTTATCCAATCAAAGTTGTTACACTAATGATTTAAATATACTTAGTACTCCGAATTTAATATTTGGAGATAATTTTCATGTTATGTACACGTGCTAGCATATTATTAGGATAATTTTTATATTATCTAAAAACTATGACTAGATAGGATTTGATTAGCCGACCTTCACTTTCCCTATAATAAAAATAGGTTTATTAGTTTACGAGAGAAACTTGTTTGATTTGAAACAAAAAAAAATCAATCAAATTTGAGAGACGTGATGATACGAGAAAACCCCAAGGCGGTGGTCCGTGATGGGGAACAGTACGAGCAGATGTTGGCTAATTTACAAAACATGAAGATACCCTTCAGTGGTGAAGAATGTTTCGGACAATATGTCGATTTACACGAGTGTTATAACAGGTATATCAATTCTAAATTTGGTCACCCTATCAATTATGTGGTTTATCTTGATAATTTTCCTGCAATTGATACGATTCCTTCCAAATACAAGGCAACTGCACAATACAAGGAGTATAGGGAGGGTGTGCTCGCTTACTTGATGTCTTTCTTGGATCGTACGAAGCCCCTGATGTTCTTAGACAGGGTTTTTAAGAGCGTGGAATCTGAATTTGAGGAGCGTTGGACAGTTGAAAGAGGAAAAAAGCGGCCTAGGACAACGACTACTGTCGATGATGTTATCGAGCAGTTTGATGGATGTAGCACGGTTGAGAGTCTAATTGAGTTAGGACCGATGAAGCTTAACGAGGCATTGAACACTTTGGGGCTTAAATCTGGTGGTACTGTCTACCAAAGAGCGGAGAGACTTCTACTTGTGAAGAATACGCCTCTAGAGAAGCTTGGCCGAAAGCACTTTAAGAAGGAAAAAGACTACTGCTGTAAGGAAACTGCACTAATTGAAGCCAAAGTAAACAAGTTGTGTGAGCTTCTGAAAGACGTTCTTGAGCGGACTAGAGAACGCGTTAGGAACAGGCAGGGGATGACTTTCGATGAGTTAGTTCGTGATCGTGATGCTGATCATGAGATACTTGTACATGACATAGGAAGTGATAATGCAGACGAGAAAAGAGATTGTAATCCACTTAAATTGCCACTGGGTTGGGATGGGAAGCCTATACCTTACTGGCTCTACAAGCTTTACGGCCTTAACCAAGAATTTAAGTGTGAAATTTGTGGGAACTTCACCTACAAGGGCCGAAGGGATTATGAAAAGCACTTCCATGGAGCGCGTCATCAGCACGGGATGAGTTGCTTGGGTATACCCAACACCAAGAGCTTTCATGACATCGCTCGAATTGACGATGCCAAGGAACTGTGGCAGCAGATTCAGCTGAGGAAAGGGCTGTCATTGTGGCAGCCTGATGTACTCGAGGAATACGAGGATGCAGAGGGTAACGTTTACAACAAGAAGACCTACAATGATCTTGTTAGGCAGGGTATAATTCAAGTTTAGATCAATTACCCTCACTATTTTAATTCTTGTAGTAGATTAATTACCTAGCTTGAATCCGAATTTATCTACTTATATTTGCATGTATTCAGTCTTGTTCTTATGTTACAAGATTTCCAATCAATTGACATCTTTGAATCAAGTTCTTTTCTTCTAAAATCATAGGTTGCGCCTTTAATTACCTAATATTATTGCATCTTAGCAAATAATGTAACGCAAAAGTTGTAGAACACTTGATTAGAAAAGATGTTTTCAAGTGTTGTGCTGAAAAGTTAGGAAATAAAATGTTTAATTATAATATCGATTCCTTTAAATATTGGGGTTTCTAAAAAAAATATTATTTGATAATATAATAAAATAGTTAGTATTTTTTTTTTAGGTGTAATATCAAGAAAAATAATTATTTTGTAGTATGTGCTATTTACAAAATAATTAAAATAGTAGAAGTGGGAGTTAATTAGAGGTTATTTTTATATATATATATATATATAGGGTGGCGAAAGTTATTTCGAAGATAGTGCCAAAAAAATAAAAAATAAAAAGAGTGAATGAGAATTGAGAGTTGGGGTTTTGGAGGGTTGTGGTGAAGTATTGCAAAATGACTCTTAATTTATAGGAATATCTGTTTGGAAGGGGCATGTTTTTGTCCAAGATTTTGGCAGCTTCTCAATCAGCACATTAGCTAGTAGCACTTTACACATTTTCATCTCCTCAGCTAGAATGTCAGCAACCAGATTTTCATATTCATGCACTTGTTCCATAATCGGTTTGTCATCTACGATTTGGAACTGCAACCATTATCCAGTGATGTACTTATTAACAAGCAGTGTTGACTATTTTCAGGTGAAGTTAATAACTGAGCATATGAGAGTCCCGAGATGTTCTTAACCTAGATCTAGGAATGTTGGTCTTTGTTTCTATTTTTAGTACTCATGACAATGGTTTCTATTTATACTAAGTATTAATAAAGAAAGAGTTTGATTTTCCGCTGCAAAGTTTGGTTTGAGTAAGTAGTTTTGGTAGTCTTGCGTAATCACGCGGCGGTAATACGCCTAAATCCATCTCTACGGTATAATTATACGTATTATATTGGTATTTCCATAGTGGGAGATTTGGAGGTGTTACGGTTGGGGCTGCCGGGGAGGGACGATGGATTTTTAGTTAATTAATTAATTTAAGGAAATTTTGACTTTTGGTACCACCAAAAAACCCTACTTTGATTTTTGATGGTACCCATCTAAAATTAATTTTTATTTTACTACCTATAAAACTCTAAACTTATAGCTTTTGGTACTACTAAACGTTTCCTTTAATGGTTAGTTAATTAAAATTTTCTCGTTTTTCGTGTCAAAAAAGGTTTTGGTAAGGTTTTTGGGGTAATTTTCGCCCTTAATGGTCTAAATTCAGCTCAAAATTTGGGAAAAAAAACTTGAGTGCCTTGTTTTGCGTGTCATAAAATGTATCTATTTCCATGACATTAATATTATTGTCGCAAAATTTGTTCGGATAAGGTTTTAGGATCATTTTTGTCCTTAAAGCTTCAAATTAAGCTCTTGAAAAAAAATATAACATAAGTACCTCGTTTTGCGTGTCCTATAATGTCGATTTTAACAAGCAAAACGAGAAATTTACATTTTTTTTTTGCAAATTCAGAGCATAATTTATTTGGATCCTTAAGGAATAAAGTGACCCCTAAAACCCAACCCGAAAATTTTTATTTCGCGGCTAAAAAAAAATTAACGACACGCAAATTAATACAAGTACATACTGTATAACACGTAAGTCGAGGCATTTATGTTTTTTTTTGCCAATTTCGAGATTAATTTGGATCAAAAGGACTAAAATGCCCCCTAAAACCTTAAGGAAATATTTCCCAGCTCGTAAATCAAGAAAATATTAATTAGAACGAAATACGTTAAGTGGTACCAAAAGCTATTTTTTTTTAACAAGAAGAAAAAGGGATTTTATTAATAAAATATAGTCAAATGACACTTACATATAATTCTTATGCAATCAAGAATGTCAACACAAGTACACACCTTAAAACTAAATAAATCGTAGATTTGATTAACAATCGCCTTAATAAAAAACTTTCTTTGAAGCAATACAATATGTGAGTTCGCACTAATTCGGTTTAAAATCCAATTATGCGTAGTCGTTTGAGTGAAAATACTCATGTGTTCCTCTAGATTCTAGCTTGTAGAGATTATGAAACCCTAGATCTTCAATTTTTGCCATACAAACATTAAAAGAAAATAAACTCAAGAGAAAAATCATCATTTCAAGGATGAGATTTATTTATTGAAAGCAATTAAAAGGTTTTTGGGGGCTTACCACCGGTAAGAACACCAGTGGAAGCCCCTACAAAGATTCACAACTGAGACCAAGGGGAAAGAGATGGAAGACATGGAGTGAAAGGGAGAAGAGAGAAAGAAAACCTTCAAAAAAAATCGTAAATAACCTAGCAATGGAGCCTAGGAAAATCCTCCCAAGGGAAACACCCTAGAGGGAACAAAATAAACCCTCCCCAGGCCAAAAGCTATTATATTAGAATTTGATAGGTAGTACAATAAAAATGATTTTAGATAGGTACCAAAAATCAAAGTAGAATTAAATTATCCTTAATTTTTTTTTTAATTTTTTGTAAAAAAAATATTAAATAATTCTTTTTTTTTACCAATTACGTCTTGACCCTAATTACGTCCTGACACGTGTCAAGTAACTTGTTATAACAAGTTGGATGACCGGTTGGGATCATTGGAAGCTAATTCATTCATATTTAAGTTCGGATTATTCTAGTCATTTTAAAAAAATAATTGAAAGTTTGGATTATCCATATTTAAAAAAAATAATCGAAAATTGGGATTATTTTGGGCGAATGAGGGAAAATTGGGATCATTCTAGTCAATTCAAAATTGCCTGGAATATGAACTTTAATTTGCCTTATCCGCCCAAATTAATCCCACATTTCGATTATTTTTTAATAATCCGACCTTTATACCTCTTCCGCCTTAATGGTCTCAGCCGGTCATCTAATTTGTTATTACAAGTTACTAGACACATGTTAGCCTATGATTGGTCTCAACCACTTTAATTGATCTCAACCGGTTATCGAACAATGAAATAATGACATTATTGGATCTGTCAAAAAATAAATAATGACAATGGAGATTATTATCGAAGTATGTTAGTAGAAGTAGTTATTTCTCCTTCAAGATACTAGTATCTAATGTGCAGAAATAATCATACCATATTTCGAAATAATTTCTTATAAATTATAATGAGTTATTCACTTAAGTTTTACTCATTTAAATTTATTTATTCTTATCTGATCTTATTAAAATTTATTTCGCATTTTAGTGGTAAATTGAACTTTAATAGCTATTATTAACCCTTATCAAAACTAGTCTAACTTTAATTTTCCTGAGCTTATATCAGACAAAGTATAACGTATATTTATAATGATCCAAATAAAAAAAATATTATTTTTTTATTATCATATTATTTAGAAACATATGGATCATAAATCGTGAGCCATTAGGCATTTAGGCCTAAATAAATTGTGGTGTATTTTAATCTGAATTTTGGATTGTATTCAAATTAAAACTTGATTGATCACAATTCATACAAATTTGAATAGGACAATTAAACTTAATATTTCAAAACCAAAAGTTAACAATTATGATTGAATTATATTAGACCTTAGTTCAACCAAAAACCAAATTTTACACTCAAGTTTGATTGTAGAGTAATAGGTTATTTGATATATCTATTTTCAATTGGATTACTGGGATATTGATTAATTAGTCATATTAATAAGTTTGGATCGAACCAATTTCGAATACTTTTTTTTGCATACACGCGATTTGGATTTGGGTTAGTTAGAATTGGGTTTGTGGGGGAATTTATCCGTGAAAAGGATTCTAAATTTCTACCTTTGAGTAGAAAGGTAGTGTTTCGGACGCCAAATGTAAACTCTTAACTTTTTTTTTTTTCATCACTTCTTTTCTAAATGGTTGTTAGTTAATCCTTTCATTATATCTAAATTGTTACAAACCAGTTAACTTTCAACCGTTGGAAGAAAAAAGGATATTGAATCCATACTTTATATACTTTTCACTTTATTCATTATTGCTTTGGTACCATCAATTCATATAATGTACTCCATACTTCATATATAGTAATATACTTATTTTTATTTTCATATAGTCAAATGGTAAAAACTTTAACCAAAATTTTCATTCATATACACCAAAAGCACAGTGTAAGATATTACTAGATATGTCTCAATGTGTGTTTTATAATAGTCAGATTACAAAGATAAAAAGATTGGTTGATCATTCCTTTTCGCGAATTCTAAGCTACTGTTTGACAATGCTTATGTTTGCTTAATAATAGCAATAACAAGGGAGAATTTGACATTAATATTGCATACTTTATTGTAATATAAATATGACCAGTACTTTTTACATGCTGTATGCTCATATATTTAATCAGTTTTATCATTTGGAGGATTTTTATGAAGGTCATTCTTGATTGGAGCGGATTAGTCGCTTGATGGTGTACGTGATTGCCATACATAGTGAATTCATCATTCAACCTCGACTTGACGTTGCGTCCTTGTTAAATGAATTCAAGTATGCCACATTTCTCTTCACCCCGTAAGTTGATTGGGTTATCAAGTGACATACTACATACCCTCTTTGGGTTCATACGACGAGTACATGCATATGAAATTTGTTCCAAGGTAGAGATTGTTGGGTTAGTGTGGCCCAATCCCAACTTATTACATATCAGGTTTCTAGAAAATTCTCGTATATTGAGAAAGTGATGAAGAATTGTGGAAGAATCTAGAATTGTTGAATGGTTATAAACATTCTAGATTTATGTGGCAACTTAAAGAGTGTATAGAAGATTCCATACACTTCTTCCACCCCCATACATCACCTATATATATATAAGGTGTTGGGCAACATTTAAGAGCATGTATCCACCTACATATCCTCCAATACTTCAATACTATACAATCTTCCCTTCCATACATATCATGATCGGATAAAATTTTATTTATTACATTAGGAATTCCTTTCGTAAGGAGGGCTTCCTAATGTTTAATTTTTCTTACCCTTTTTTAAAAAAAAAACATATCA